TCTCACTTCAAACTGATAAAGATTAAATATTTGATAATGAAACATTTTGGTAAAAGTGTATAGAAACTGGCACCCTTATACCTTGTTAGCTACTTAACTACTCCAGTCCTCGAACATTTAATCAAGAGACAAGGCGGGGGCCAGCCCCGTGGCCTAGTGGTTAAGTTCAGTGCCCTCCACTTCAGTGGCCCAGGTTCGGTTCCAGGGCACGGACTTACACCACTCCTCGGTGGCCATGCTGTGGTGTTGACCCACATACAAAATTGAGGAAGACTGGCACAGATGTTAGCTCAGGGAGAATCTGCCTCAAGCCAAAAAAAAAAAAGAGGAACATTGGCAACAGATGTTAGCTCAGGGCAAATTTTCCTCAGTAAAAGAAAAAGACAAGGGGAGCCAGTTTCAATTTTGCCAATTCATTCTTTGGGTTCAATATCCGTATTTAAAAAAATGAGATTTGAATTTAATTTCTGAAATCTATCCCAACTCAGATGATTCAGCCCTATCAATTAAGTCACAAAGACTAGAGCAATCCATGCAGGGTAGTTAACTTCACTTCAGAATAAGAAGGCGAGAAATACTTGCATTTGAAAGTTTGCTGGGTTCCCACTATATCCTGGGTTACAGCCAGAAGTGGTTTTATTTTATTTATTTATTTTTTTTTATAATTTTTATTTATTTTTATTTTTTTCCCCCAAAGCTCCAATAGATAGTTGTATGTCATAGCTGCACATTCTTCTAGTTGCTGTATGTGGGACGCAGCCTCAGCATGGCCGGAGAGGCGGTGCGCCCCCGGGATCCAAACCCTGGCCGCCAGCAGCGGAGCGCGCACACTTAACCGCTAAGCCACGGGGCCGGCGGGGAAGTGGTTTTAAAGATCTTGAACAAAACGGAATAACAGCAACAGGGTTCCGTGGCCGCCCACGCCTGCGCAGTGAGGGCTGCTCGTGGGAGCCGACCGCGGCTGAAGCCCCGCCTCTTGTAGGGTCTGCGGATTGGGCACCCGCGGGGCCGGGGGTCCGCCACTGCCGGGGCTGCGCGCCCCGGGACGCCCAGCGCGCTCCGTGTTCTGTGCTCACGGGCGGCCGCGGTGGAGTCTGGAGCTGTGGTACTGGGGGGAGCAGGGCAGCGAGCACAGGAGGAAGGTGGACGCCTGGCGGGATCCCCTGTTTCAGCGGTGCCACCGCAACCGCGGCCCAGATCAAGGACACAGATTTGTTACTAGATGATTTGTTGGTGCCACTCTGGGAATCCACACCCAAGAGGTTCTCGGTGGTGATGACCGAGAACGTAGAGCCTGATCTAGTTGGCTCCAGCCTCACTGGCAGCCTGATCCCCAACATCATCTCGCAGCTCTGTGTTTCCAGGTGCAGAGGCACTCCCTTTGCCGTCCCTTGTCTCACTTGGCCAGCCCAAACTCAGCTGGAGCCACCCAGTTGGAACTTTGGCCAGAGTTCTCCAACACACACTTTTGGCTTAAAAAAACAAAGGGACACGTTTTTAAATTTTATCTAAAGCCCAGGTGGCTCTGGAGGTGTGGAAGGAGATCATGTCAATCAAGGACCACTTCATCCAGGCAGCCGTCTAACATTTATTGTGCTAGTTATCAGTTTATTGATATCAATTTATTGAAGTTCCAAATTCATCCTTCAATACCTGCTTTGTGGTAATGGATGGAATTCCTTTAAATCATTTCCTTTTTAAAGAGTGTTAAGTCCAATGAAGTTTTCTCAGTAGATGGTGCTGGAAGGATACTGCAGGAGGAAGGGGGTTTCTGATGGTTCCGGTGGCTACACCATAGGTCAGCAGAGTAGATGGGAGAACACTTGGTGGTGCCCCGCCTCAGCCATGCACCCAGAACTCAAGTTCCCTCAGCCACCTCACAGCCCCAGCCCAGGTCTGGTGATCACTTTCCACAAGGCCCCGGGCCTCCCACTCATATTAGTTTCCTCTGAATGCTCACATACCTGGCCACCAGCTGTGGCTCACCTGGAGAGTTGTCTCCTGCTTGCCTGGGGAGTGCACACCAGCTCTGGCCCATGCAATCCACCAAATTTATCTGCTATCCAGTAGATTGCAACTATGCCTTTTCCATTAAGATCTTAACCTCAGCTTTGGTATCTATGATACCATATTGAGTTTTCTTAGATCCTTTATTTTTTACTTACTCTTATTATAGCTTAATATTCTTTATATTAAACTTTCTTGTTTACTTATTTTTTTGTGAGGAAGACTGGCTCTGAGCTAACATCTGTACCCATCTTCCTCTATTTTGTATATGGGACGCCGCCACAGCATGGCTTGATGAGTGGTGTGTAGGTCTGCGCCTGGGATCCGAAACTGCAAACTCGGGGCCTGCCAAAGTGGAGCGTGTGAACTTAACGGCTATGCCACCGGGCTGGCCCCTAAACCTTCTTATTTAAATCAATGTGTCATTTGTCCTCTGATAAGGAACCAGACTGATACACTTAATAAACATCAGTTACATGTCAGGCAGTGTTCTAGGCATGAAGGAGGCAGACAAGGTACTTGCTATTATAGAGTTTATATTCCACAGAGGTTGTTAACTGAGACCTAAGTCACAAGATAGGCTCAGCCATGCAAAATTTGAGGCAGAATATTATAAGCACAAGGGGACAAGTGTAAAGAAGCTAAATGATAATGAACTTGATGTAATGAGAACTAGGAAGAGCACTGGGGCTAGACTTCAGTGAGCAGAGACAGTAACAGAGATGAAGTTGAAGAAGCAAACCTTTTAGGTAAAGTAATCATAACTTATTGTCAGGGCGGCTTTGAGAATGAATGAAAGCAGTATACTAAAAGTCACACCAGGGTAACAGGAGTAAGCTGAGACTTAACGGTCACCCAATTTATAGCCCACGGTAAAGGAGCCTGGATGCTATTTTATGGGTGACAAGATGTAATTGGAAGGCTTTTTAAGCAGGTGAGGGACATGACCTGATTTTAAAAGATCACTCTGATTATGTGGAGAATGAATTATAAGGAAGCAAAGGTGCAAAAAGGGAGCTAAGACAACCACAATCATGAAGAATATGGTGTACTCAGAGGCTCTTTTGGGACAGTCAGGGGTATTTCATTCTTTCATTCCCTCTACCATACAAAGTACCACAGTGTAAGGATTATGTTCGGAGTAAGGAAGGCTCCATGGAGCTCATGCCTGGGCTGAAAAGAAATAGAAACTAGCCATTGAAATATCTTTAGTAGGTGAATAGAAACATAGGGAAGGGAGTGTCAGAACTACATAAATGAAGGCATGAAGGTGTTAATGAGAGCCATAGTGGGTGTGAGGTGTTTTCCTATATAAACGGGAGCTAACTGACAAGGTAGCAGGGACCTTGCCCTGGAGGGGTTGTGTGATCTCCTCGGGGGCTTAAGTCTTTTCTGTAGTTGATTGAAAGCTATTGAAGGATTTTAAGTAGGAGAGTGACAAATATGTCATATGGGTGCCTTGACATCAGTGTAGGATGAATTTTAGAGATCTAAGACTTGAGGAGAAAGGAAGTAGGAAAGACGGTTAAGAGAGAAAAAAGAATTCTCACAGGGGAAAGAAAGCAACATAATTTATTAAATATGCAAAGCAATGTACTAAGGCTTTTTCATTTCATCTGCATAATAACAAGTATTGCTATTTTCATATGTGTGAGACTCTCTTATAAGAAACTTACTCAAGGTTACAACAGGTACTGAGCGGCCAAACCAGGATTTAAAGCTGATTTTGTTGTTACAGGAAGGACAAAAATAAAACAAAACAAAAAAGCCAAGCCTGTGATGTCATATGTACATTCAGAATTTTTATTTCAAAACAAAGAACCACAGTAACATCAATAATAGAAAATCCATTTGGAAATATTCACAATATGGTCACTGAGAAATGGGAAAACTTCCACACTCCATCACTGCCAACCCACCGCTTTTGAGGAGCCTGAAGTAGAGTTGCAGTTAGAGGAAAGTCACCTGTTCCAACAAAGCCCCATTCCATAGCTCTGCGAGTTTTTATCCAAAGGCTCAATGACGAGAGGGAATGGTGAGAACTGAGAACTAAAATACTGTCATAGGCAAGGGTTTGGCTAAAGGGCCTGAAATGTGTAAGCACCAAAGAGGGAATGGGAGATCAAGCAACATACGAGAAAGGAAGATCGGGGTCCAATCTCCATTTATAAAAATACTGGGAAAGTAGATGATTGTGGAGGTGTCGGTGACCTGTACCAAGTGTAAATCCCCCCACCTCATCTAACTTGCTGAAACGTTCCAGAGTTAGAAAAGTCTTCAGCTTGTTTCTTAGCCCCTTCAAAGAAAGCCACCCTTTCCCCCACAACTCCCCGCCAGCGCCCCCAGCAGGACACATGTCCTGATCTCACACTCTCCTTCCTACTCCCATTGTCTGAGTCTGGTGGGAAGCTGAGTCCTCCACTGGCAACCTCAAGATTTAGGGAGTTCTCCCCCTACTCTCCAACAAGGAAAGGTAGCCAGATGAGACTGAACTCTAAAGTCTGGAAGAAAACCATAGATGCAAATTCCACCACAGAGGCAGTGTTATTTACATACATAGGGAGGAGTTTTAACACCTTCTGGGGGGCTGTAGGAACAGAGGAAGCAAGTTACCAATAAACTACTTCCACCCTGAGCAAAGTGACAGTGCACGTACATTCATACTCTCAAGTATGGGCTACACTGCACATTTACTCAATACCATCTCAAACGTGGTGTGTGGGAAAGCTTCAAGTCTTCTAAGAGCGCCTGACATAATACTATGGTAACATGGTAACAGGCTAACTTGACATGGTAACAGACATAAACAAGCATGCAATGACCCTAAAGCAAGAACATATTTCAACTAAATAATCGTTCAGAAAAAATCCTCCCCCAGAGCGGAGGTTACAAATTCCAAGTTAGCTATGAACATTCTCCTCTGAATTCTTTTAAAGCTATGGCTTATAACAAAATAAAAATCAACATCTAAAATCTCCTAAAGAAGAAAATGGAGAAACAACAAACCTCTACCAAGAACCAATATTTTAGGTTGCTCATTTGGAGGGCTTTGCCACCAGATGGGTGGTAGGAGTACTTAAAAAAAAAACTGAGTCCACTACAAGGAAAAGAAGTTGTCTGGTCCAGTGAGGGGAGAGAAGATTTCTAGAAATAACCTTCCTTTCTCTGGACTGTATCCAAAATTAGAACCCATCAACCATTAACGACAATGCCCATCTTAGTAATAATCCTGGATTCCAAGTAATACTACATATAATCTTAAACAAAGAAAAAAGTTCCAAAGGAAACCAATAGCTTCTTTATACAGGCACATGACTTTTCTGAGAAATTAAACTTGAGAATTTCCATTTGAAGGACAGAAATTCTTAAGAGGCAAAGTGCAAACCTCACACACCACATCATATACCCTCCAATAACGCATTACATTTCTCCCTGAATTCTTCCCTTGTAATTGCACCTTAACCTCTCCAGTATCAAATCTTCCATCCTATAACCTCTCTTTAAGCACCTCCCTCTAACCTCAATTTCCTTATGTTTTCATTATTTGGTAAAATTACTTTACACTTAAAAAAATAAATATTTATGCAGTAAAACCAGAAGATAAAATAAATAAAACTCAAGTTAATTTGCTCTGCAGAGCTGTATGGAAGGGAGGAAGGTGCTCTTATTTAATCCTTCTCTGCCCTCCACACTCATGTATATTTGCTTCCTGGTAAGTCTGAGGTTGGAGGAATTGTACCCTCACTCTCACTCCCTTATGTGCCCTCATGAGGCAATATTAGAACCTAAGGGAGGAAGAGCTGGCAAAGCTGTCACATGCCAAGTGGCCAATCCCTCCTGGAATGAAGGTAGGTTCACTTGGTCTCTCCTAAACAGAAGAGAATGTCCAAGAAATGAAATGTTTAAAAAGCCATTGAATATACAACTAACCTCAGCATTGGGTTCCTCTGAGCGCTCATGGAGTGTGTGGGATGAGAAAGGAATCAAGTAGCAGCATTCAGAAACAGTCCTGGGTTACAACCTGATGAGGTCTCTCCCTCATTCAGGGAGAGGTTGCTTTTTCATGTTGGGAGGGAGGCGGGAAGCAGGCATGGCTTAGACATTGGTGGTGGTCTCCTTTACAGGCTGGATGCTGTTCATCTCCACCATGGGGCCTTTCTCAGCTCTATTGGCCTCCCGGGTCTGCCCTTCAAAGGCTCGTGTAATTTCCTCAAAAGTCCTGCCACGGGTCTCAGGGACTTTGAAGAAGGTGAAGACCAAGAAGATAACAAGGAAGCCGGAGAAGACAAGAAAAACGTAGGCTCCCAAATAGAACTAGTGAAAGGAAATAAAAAAGGAACGTTGATACAAAAATCTGGTCATTGACAAACTCTAGTTTCCTTCACATCCGTATTTCCAAAATGCTTCAAGCCATAACCCTTCCATATTTAATGAAAACAGTAAGCTTTCTTCAGAGATTCATTTATGATTCCATTGCTAACTTACTATATTTCTCGGCAATTTTGTGTCATTTCTTTTCCCATTCATTCAAGTTAGCTGCTTCCAAATACCTAATGAGTATTTTAAGACTTTTGATTATTATTTTTAAAATCTGGGTTTCTGAAAGACTCATGGAAATAGGAAATGCATTCTAGATGTCCGTTCCAAGTTCCTTTAGTTAACAAATCAGCTCCAGGTCATTTTATAATAGGACCTACCTGATTCATTAACATCCTATGCTTAGCAAGCCTTTCAGATCATGAAGGTATTATTAACACTACTTCAAATTATGAATTTTAAGTACAGATCTTTCTCAACTTATGATGGGGTTATGTCCTGATAAATTCATCGTAAGCTGAAAATATCATTAAGTCAAAAATACATTTAATACACCTAACCTACCGAGCATGGTAACTTAGCCTAGCCTACGGTTGGGCAAACTCATCTAACACAAAGCCTATTTTATAATGAAGTGTTGAATATCTCATGTAATTTATTGACTACTATACTAAAAGTGAAAAACAGAATGGTTGCCTGCGTAAAGAATGGTTCTAAGTGTATCCGGTGTCTGCCTTTATGATAGTGTGGCTGATTGAAAGCTGGGCCTTGAAGCTGCTGCCCAGCATCACGAGAGTATCTTACTACATATTGCTAGCCCAGGAAAAGATCAAAATCCAAAATTCCAAGTATGGTTTCCACTGAACGTGTATCGCTTTCTCACCATTGTAAAGTCAAAAAATTATAAGTCAAACCACCATAAGTCAGGGACTGTCTTTATTGGTTTGGAATCCTTTGAGGCTTATCACTATCATTCTGTTTCCAGGCAGAACTAGGCCTGTATCATCTCAGACTAGAGGTCTTTCAAAAGTTTCCAGTTTTGCCCTCCTGCTTCAATCTTTGCTACTATCATCCCTTCTTTTTCTATATGTTATTGAAAATGAGGCAAAAATCTGGTTTAAAGCCCTTGATATCTAATCCTTCATAATGTCAGTAACCATTATTAAGGTCTATCTTAAACATGTTGGGTTAAGCAGGCTGGTTTCAAGATGGACTAGGTGAGTTTTGTTTTACTTACCGCAGCTGAGGGGAAGAGCAGTCCAACCAGAAAGTTGGAGGTCCAGTTGGAACAACCAGCCACTGCCACTGCAGCTGGGCGGGGTCCCTGGCTGAAGAGTTCGGCCACAATAAACCAGGGAATGGGGCCTGGGCCAATTTCAAAGAAGGCCACGAAGATCAAGATAGCCCCAATACAGACAAAGCTCATCCAATGATAGTCGTCCTATGTGAGGAAGGAACAGATAAAAGTGAATATTAAAGACAGCATGACCTAGGCAGAATCCAGCTTCCCAGAGATGTACTGACTGATAATGAAAAACTCCTTCTGTCCTATGGTATAATGGAGTTACTGGACTCAGTCAAAAGCCTTGGGTTTTTGAATTCCAGCTGTGTGATCACACAAATGTCATTTTGCACTGAGACCATTTCATCATCTGTAAAATGGGAATAATAATTACCTCAAGATTACTTTAAGAATTAAATTAGATAATGTATTTTACAAGCTATATGTTATATAGATTTAAGGATTCCAGCAGTTTAATTACCTCTCTCTGATGATCCATTTTTCTTAAAACTCTGGAATGCTGCTTCTCTCAAATTTGACTTTATCCATCTCCAACCTCAACTACCCACCCAACAGAGAGCCAACTGTAAGCTCTCTCCTTTCCCCCTCCCCTCCCTTTCCTTCACTCAAAGCTCACTCACCTTTAGTAACAGTGAAACGGTCATGACGATAGAACAAGAAGCCATCCCTCCAAGGCCTATCATGTGTAGCGTCCTCCTCCCTGCCCTATCCACCAGGAATAGCTACAAGAAGAGTAATACAAACATGAGACTTCTGCTTTCCCTTTCATGAAAACACTGTATGAGCTACCTGAACCTCCTTATCAATCAGGATACTTGTTACAGTCACACTTCCCCTTTCCAGTCCCAAGTTTACAGCATCCTATATAATCATCTCTTCCATACCACCCTCTTTCCGTCCATTCCATATTTGTTTGAAGACAGTGAAGACTACTTACACCATCATTCACTATCTCTTTTTCCCTAAAGAGGAATTAAACAACAAAAAAAGGTTTAACTAAATGACGGTAGGGAGGTGGAAGGACATGAAACCTATCTTTAAACCATGTGTAGCAAGAATTTCTCTTCCCCCCTGCCAAAAATTATCAAACCATTCAACTTACAGAAACTACAGTGAAGACAGTATTAACCACTCCTGCACCAATAGTGGCATAAATTGGCTCCTGAACACCTGCATCTTTGAAGATTCCTGTTGAGTAATAGAAAACCTAATAGGAAACAAAAGATGCAAGTTTGAAATAGCAATTGTGCACAGCAATTAAATAGAACTCTCAAAAGTAAATTCAAAAGTCCCAAAAGTTTCCACGGATTTTTTGTTCAATCACAGTATCTTTTCTGCAAATGAATTACCTTCTGTATCTTCTTTTTTTGTGAGGAAGATCGGCCCTGAGCTAACATCTGCCAATCCTCCTCTTTTTTTGCTGAGGAAGACTGGCCCTGGGCTAACATCCATGCCCATTTTCCTCTACTTTATATGGGACGCCGCCACAGCATGGCTTGCCAAGCGGTGCGTCGGTGCGCGCCCGGGATCCGAACCTGTGAATCCCGGGCTGCCGCAGTGGAGCGTGCGCACTTAACTGCTTGCACCACCTGGCTGGGCCCCTACCTTCTGTATCTTATCTCTATTCTCTTCTTAATTCTCAATTCTAGCTGCTCATTTCCATTTTTTTCCTAACTATGCTTATTCCTACCACTCCATTTAGTCTCTTCCTTACATTCACTTTATTAACTTATATAAACATTTGTCTTATTAAGTTTTTCAATTAAGTCTTTCAATTTAAGTCTTTTTTTTTTTTTTAAAGATTTCATTTATTTATTTTTTTCCCCCAAAGCCCCAGTAGATAGTTGTATGTCATAGCTGCACATCCTTCTAGTTGCTGTATGTGGGACGCGGCCTC